TCATGCAAGGATGCAGTTTAGTTAGAAGGAAATTAATGGTCTCCCTCAACTTTAAGCTGACTCTGGAGGCAAATGATTTACAACCTAATGCACTTTTAATTTGCAGATCTGTATATTTCACCTCCTCGTCGAGCCGCTGAGGGAGAACGGTGCAACTGAAACGGCCAGAGTCTTCAACCTGAGCAAAAGGCTGCCAGCCAGCTCTCGCAGGATTATTTCTGTTTGCACCGCTGATGAAACAAACGATTAAGTCCAACAATCAATTATTTAGAGGCGTACCTTCTCAATGGGAAACTTCCCTCTGCAGGGGCTCCCAGTGGGGATCAGACAGGAGGAGCAGCTGCCAGTCCTCGCCGGCCCGCATCACTCCACTCACGTCTTCATTAGCTGTGGCTCTTCCCCGCCAGGCCTCCATCGGCCTCCATCGACTGCGCCTCGGGCAGGCAGGCTCAGACATTTAACCGCTCGCACGGTACAAGAGGCGTTCGCGCTCGAATGAATATAGAACCGGCTTGCTCTGGAACGATCCGGGGCTAATTCCTGAATTGATCAACGGCTGTTAATTGAGCACTCGGAGGGGGGAAGAAAGAGCCTCTTACGGCGAGGTGATGGCGGCAAGTTGTGCTCCAAACACAAGGTTGACCTTTAAGCAGACGTCCTGCAGTGATCGCATACGTGAGTGATTCTCTGCAGAGACCGGGAAGAGTTTTAGGCGATTGGAGCGACTACATCTGGTAGTGGTTGGCAAAAGGTGCGTTTAAGGGTTGTAGGATTAACGGAAGGATTTAGTGTAAACGTCAAGGTCAACTTCTTTGACTCTGAATAAAAACTACAACAGTGGTGACAAAAGTCCAGCACATGATCCTCCTGTAAAACCACAACTCGAGCGGATTAGGAAGTTAATTGGTGACCTTTAGACGCGCCGGTCGGTGAATTAGTTATTGGGCGGAGCAAAGCTGTTTCCTCGTCTCCTCTCTGCTTCCGCCTAATTGGCTGAAGGCTTGAGTTTCATATTTAAAACATACAAGAGTGGCATCGATCTTAGTCGAGCACGTCGCTGCAAGACGACGGATTCTCATCAAACTGTTGCTTTAAAGGTGGAGCAAGACGTTTTCATAGTTTAGTAAATATCTGCTGTAAAAATCAATGCGTAAGACTTCGAAAAAGGGAAACAAACATGTCAGAATGTCTTAAATCTGCATTCTTCTGAACAGCCAGCAGGGGGCGACTCTTCTGGTTGCAAAAGAAGTCAGTTTGTATAGAAGCCGATGAGAAAATGACCCGACTTCTAACTTGATTTGCTAAATCAGTGAACGTGTTTCTCGTGATTGTATGTTCTCAATAAGTAGCTCCAAGACTTTCTCAGTTCAGCGAGTTGTTTGTTTAATAAATTCTGGCACCATTTGGAGTAAAACAGGTGATAAAGTCGGGTGTGTTTTAAGGTGTGCGTACTCTCCTCGACTTCTCTGTCACGTTTGCTCGTCACATCCGGCTTCAAAAGAACAACAAAGTCAAATGCCAGAAGTCAAGGTCGCTTGGAAACAAACAACGTGGCTGACAACAAACTACGCAACACTTTTCCACACAGTCGGCAGCAAGCTGACAACTGTTGCTCCAATAATTATGTCCAAAGATATCAAATTTATTTCACCTGTTATTGACGAATCTCTTTGACTCTGACCTCTTCATCGCTGCTGGTTTCCTTCCTGATTGTATGACGCTTTACTCAACGTACAAGTGCAGTTTGCTCATAATATTTCTGCACTTTTTAGTATAATTTTTCCCTTTTAAGTCACGATTGAAGATCCACTTCTTCTTATTTTATCTGATTGAAGCAGAGCTCGACTCCCTGACTTCATGTCTTATCGTGTCGTCGTGAAAAAAAAAGTTGTGATTTCTAATTTATCATCTATTTGTTCACTTTAAGTTTGCGTTTCTTTGTTGTTGGGGAACTTTTGCATGTTTGTAGAGAAACTTTTTATGCAGCTCAGTATAACAGTGGAAAAGTTTGCTAAAGGGTCAGAAAGTTGAGGTTTGCGTTAACCTCAGAGGACATGTTTAGGGTTTTATTCTTGAGAAAAAGGACTCCGGTCATAGGGTTAAATTCACATCTATGTTCACTATTAAAGTTCCCAATCTCCATATGTTATACAATGTTAAATCTGCCATCGATTCAGCAAAGTGTTTTGTGTTTTTTGAGTTTTATGATACAGCAAATTTCCTTATTTCCTGTTAAATATGATCTTTTACTCTGATTTGTCTTTTACTTATCGTCTTTTATCGCCTGCATGTTAATCGTGCAGCACTCCTTTGGTTTTCAATGCGCTTTATGGGTTAATTTAACTTGACTTGGACCTATAGTGCAGGTTTTATTACACTTTGGAGTCACTACATTTAGCATTTAGTAAAACATTTAGCAAATATTTGCGTATTTCTTGGTTGAAGCTGATCAAAGGAGCTTTCAAAGTGCTCCTCTGAGTTCTTATTTGCGTTTAACTCACTTCAACACAGCGGATATTGACCAGAACGCGGCGTCGCTCGGCTCAGCTTCACGCTCTTCAAAACCATATTAGCAAACAATATAATATAGTCTGACTCGGTGAGTAATGGCTGCTTGTAATGGCACATGACACCGCGATCAGACATCATTACATATAATTCCTGTTAATGTCTGTTAATCAGATACAGTGGAGCTCGTTAGATGTAATAAGACACTCCCTCCACGAGAGCACATTAACCTGGGGGTTATTCAGTCTGGCTGCTTTCCTTCTGCTCGCTGCGGCTTTCGTTTTAACCGTGTTCCTGCTAAAATGTGCAGCTCCGGCATCATTATTAGTCATGTTCAAACCACCGGAGGGCTGGAATAACCGGAATACGACAACAAACACGAGGCTCTTTCCCCTCAACTGTTGATTGAAATCTGTTTTAATCGCCTCCATAAAGACCCAAAGACGACAACAATAGACGGCGAGCGACAGCGGCGGCGAGCTCGTCCTGTGCTGTGGGCTTTTAAAGAGCAGCAGCGGCTCAGTCAGTCAGTCAGTCAGGAAGCTGCTGAATGGAGCCGAACAATGGCCGGCGAGGAGGCCACACCTGGCCGGGACACCTGGTGGGCTCGACAGCAGCACAAACACGCCACCGACGGACGTTTGTGTGCCGTCGTCCTCGGCAACGGGCGAGACAACAGCCTCGCCTCTTTCCCGTAATGCGGGAGGAAGGCGTGGAGCGTCGAGGAAGCAGCCAATAGTCGCTCAGGTCACGGCTCAAACGGAAATCAATGGGTTACACTCATAAAAAAAAAAGGATTGTTTTTAAGTAGCTTGATAGATTTTCCTTGTTTTGGTAAATTACAGATATTAATTAACCAGTAAAATCACAGAAAAAAATATTAATTTATATGTTAACCCCAGAAAAAATATCCACATAAAAAATTGTAATTTTTACAATTTGTTTTTGTTCTTTTACAATGTTTGATCATAAGTTACATTATTTTTTATTATATTTAAATTAGCACTATTTTACAGATATTTGTCATTAATTGTAAGAAAAAAATATATATATGAAGAATTGACTAATTGGTATTTCTTATTGTAGTTTAGTGGATTTTCTATGTTTAGGTAATTTACAGATATTAACCAATAAAATCACAGCAAAAAAGGATTAATTTACATGTTAACTCCCCAAAAATGCCTAAATCAGAAAAAATATCCACATGAAAAATCTGTTTTGGCAAAAGCTAAACATTAATTCTGTCTTTTACAGTGTTTAATCATAAATTAAACTATTTTCTGTATTTAAACCTGCAAAGAAATCACTATTTTACAGATATTTTTGAATGTTTTTAATTCTTATTTTACATATTCTATCTGTTTTGTTGAATTAATAACAAGCAAAATTAAAAGGTATTAAAAAAATATTAATTTATATTTTAATCGTTCACATAAAAAAATTCTATTTCTATTGTATTTAAATTAGTTTAAAAATCTCATTATTTTCCAGATATTTGCCGTTACTCTCACTTTTACAGTTTTTGAACGTTTAACTAACCCACTGCTTTTCAACAACTTTTTCTTTGCCACCAGACTTTGAACACTTGGTTAACAAATTTCTTTTTTTACAGTGTAGGTTTCTACAGATAGATGGATCACTCTGTAACCTGAGGCAGATAATGGAGACGATCCAACGTCAAACACTCCAAAACATCACTGCTCCACAAAGTCCAACAAAACGTCTTGTTTTATCCGATCAAACCAACAGATGTTCAGTTTCCAGTTGAGAAAAGCAGCGAATCCCCACCGGAAGCACAGAAGGTTTGTCACTTTATCTCAAGTAAACCCCAAATATACACCTCACTGACTGTCAAAGTAACTGCAGATCACTTCTTTCAGACGTGTAACAGCAGCTCTGATCAACCTGCTGCACATAACTCACCAGCAGAGACACAGAATATGGTGGAAACAGCAGCTCGTCATGACAGGAAGCATAAAGACAGAAACTCTGGAGCTCTGATCCACTTTCCATTAACTCCTTCTGTCTCTTTGTGCAACAATATGAGTCTGTACAGTTAAAACTGACGCTTGATTTCAGACACTTCTGGATTTTTAATGAACAAAATAGTCAAATTCTGGCTGCAGGATGACAGAAAAGTAGTTTGTGTTTGTTTCTTAGTGGTGCCAGAAAGTGTTTGATTGTTCTGGACTCTTAATTATTCAATTTGAATGAAAGAAAAAAGTAGTTTATCACTAAAACCAGACAAAGACTGAGTGTTTGTGCTGATGGATGGGTCTGTGTGCTGTCCATGGTGCTGAAATCCACTCTTCAGTCTCTACCACTTTGGTTTTCTGCTCATTTATGGAGATCTGAGAGGATTGTGTTCAGATTATTTGGGGCCACAAATAAACTGTGGATGTACATCAGCTGGTTGACTCACCTTGGTGCTTTGTGACATGAACACTGTGGATGGATGTGCGTGTGTTCACCGTGAGGCACAGAAAGGATATGGCCACTCGGTGATCTTCTTGGCGTACTTCCTGACCACGTTGTCCTCGCCGAAGATGAAGAGCGACCTGTTGACGGTGAAGCAGTTCTCCCGGACCGGGATGGGGTTGTACAGGGCCATGGTGCGGGCTCGCTGCGCTTTGGTCTGCTTGAAGGCTGGGGAGATGCCACCTGTGGACACGGCGGCTCCATCGCGGTTGCGGTTGCGCTCCGAGCCTCCGTCCCCGGAGCTCAACAAGCCCGGGACGTCGTCTCCGAAGCGGGCCATTCTGTCAGAAGCACAAAGCCACACGGGGGAGGGAGGGAGAGAGGGGGAAAAAGAGGGAGGAAAAGGAGGTTAGACGCTCCTGGAAAGCAGGGCGCGGTGCTGCGCTCGGTGTGGCGGCGGCGGCGAAATCCGGACCAGCGTTAGTCCAGCATCGGGCTTATTCTCAAAAACACAACTTCAAACAGTCGCTGCGGTCAGGAGCCAAGTCACAGCAAGTAAAAGACGTCACAAATCCAAAAGAAAAAGTAATTCAACTCCTCTTCACTGAACAATCCGTCGACTTGGGTTCATGTTTGCTGCGTTTTATCCACCGAGACTCTAAAATGTGAGAGAGAAGCTGCAACAGGTCACGTCTTCAGCCATCCTCAGCCAGCAGAGCAGCCTCATCCATGGGTCTCTGGATGAACTAGCCACAGAGAGCCGCTGACTGATTCAGAGCACATCACTCCTGTCTGCGCCGCTCTATCCTGCCGCCTGCGTAACAGCGAAAAACAACTTTGGTATTTTCCACAACATTTCCCTCCCCGAACAAAGCGAGGTGTCAACACCACAGAAACAGGAGTAAATATCCTCTGTCTTGTCTGCTGCAGAAGCGTCTCGTGTTTCCCCGCAGTGTGGACGCAACACGGCGTCTCCTAATGCGACACCTTCCTCACCTCTGTCCAACCCGAGCAGGTCACCGTGCGCAGCGCCGCCGAACCAGGCGTGCGCAGACGGTCAGACACACCAGAGGAGTCAGTAAAGCCTCCTCCTGCAGCACATCATGCACTCACTGCATGTGTGTTAATAAAAGCCAATATGAACCCAAAGTGACTTAGTTTGGCTGAGAACGCGCACGGACATGCGCTGGCTGCTGCAGGCTGACTGTGGATCAGCTCCGTGCACGCTGCTGGTCAGCTGCCATCCGAGGAGTCACTCTGTCAGATTCCTCCTGACTCGTGCGGTCACGCCTCGGGACGAGCTCCGTGGACGCTGGTCACGCTTCAGATGTGGAGGAGAGCGAGCACCTGTTGTGAGTGGAGCGGCTCCGACTGATCACCGGGTTCAGGAGCTGCTGGTGGACTCATAAGATGGAGGAGGAGCTGCTGCAGGAGATGATCTGATATGCTGCCTCCAACATTCACACCGCGAAGGAGGAAACAGAGACAAGCAGAGAATGTTCCTACTGGAGAACCACAATGTTTGACATAATGGGCTAAAAAAAAAAAAGGCTTCATTGGTTTAAAAGTAACTGGACACCAGGGGGGGGGAGAAAATAACGTTTTAAACATATTTTACAATATATGGTTATTTTACTTCCATATTTTGTACATCTACAGATAATAACCAGTAAAACCACAGAAAAAAAGTAAATTCTTTACATGTTAACCCTAAAAAACAAACTGTTAATGAGTCCATATCAAGAATCATGAATTACACATGGGTTGTTCATTATTTTACTGTTTGATCAGTAAAATATGTTTTGCTGTAAATCAGCCAAAAAAAAAGATATTTTTGATATTTTCCATTTTTATTCATTGACATAAAAAAGGATTGAAAAAATAGTAAAACTGTTGTTTTGTTAAATTGCAAAAAATAATAAGTAAAATAACTGAAAAAAATTAACTTACATGTGAACTATAATAAAATTAGCACTGGTATTATATGTAAAACTACATTTTTAATGATTAAAATACAGAAAAACAGTATTTTTCCAGTCAAACGTTGTAAAAGAACAACTTCGTATTTGTAAAAATTCAGATTTTCGATGTAGACTTTTTTAAAAAAAACAAAAAAACAATTAACATGTGAATTCATTCATATTTCATTATTTGTAATAAAACAGGGTAAATCTGTAAAATAACAGTAAATTGCATTTTTTTTTAAAACAGCTAGCCTTGTTTAAAAAGTTCATTTTTTACAGTTTTAACGCCTTGTTCTCTATTTTGACGATGGTTTTAGAGCGTGTCGTCTAACATGTTGGTCCAAACTCTACTGAAAGTGTTTGTTCTAGTTGAGATTTTTATCAAACTAGTCGATGACTCGTCTACACACTGGAAGAGACCAGCAAGACAGAAATGCTCCATAACTGGGTAAAAGGTGTTCACTTGAAACAACAAGTGGAACCAAACCGAGCAAACAAAACCCACCACAGAACCACCGGATCGCTCACTGTCGGGTTAAAAGGTCGTTTTTTCCCTGTACAGTGTGGGTTCTCTCCGGGTTCTCCAGCTTCCTCCCACAGTCCAGAAACATGCTGAGGTTAATTGGTGATTGTAAATTGTCCGTAGGTGTGAATGTGAGTGTGCTTGGTTGTCTGTCTCTAAGTGTAGCCCTGTGATAGACTGGTTACCTGTCCAGGTGAACCTGCCTTCACCCTGAGTCAGCTGGGATAGACTCCAGCCCCCCATGACCCTGGTGAGGATTAAGGTGTAGAGATGATGGATGGATTTATGTAGAAATCTGCTCTAACTTTGACAGGAAGGAGTGTTTTTTCTAAATATCTTATATCGACCGTGACTTCAGTGTTGAAGAAGCATAAAAAGAGGAGAAAACTTCATACTCTCTGGCCCATTTCTTCATGCATAGAGTCGTATTTTTTTATCAGTTCTGTTGTTTTTCTTTTGCATTTATACAGAACTTTGTTTGTGCAGTTGTTTTAACCTCACAGTTTGCATCGACTACAAATTAACTTCAGCTCGAAGCCCTGCAGCTCTTCTCCTCACATGCAAAAACTGTTCTCTCACCTCTGACCCACTGCGGCGCCACATTTATAAGAATCTACAGCCCAAAGTTAGTCCTCAAGAAACGCAGTTTTTATTCTTTCTGGAAATCACTGAGACATTTAAAACTGCACATTTGTGGTTTGAGCTGCGATGAACTGTTGACTCTTGTTCCAGTGTTGGATCATCTCCAGCCACCACGAGCCTACAGGCCGGAGAAGGTCGAGCTAATGGATGGATAGACGTATGTTCATGGCCTGTTTTTAAAGATTTAGGTCTTCAGTAGAAACTAAAGCACTTGAAATTCGAATTTAAGCCAATTGTAAAGTATTTCGACTTGGTTTTGAGGACAGTCTGTCTCTAGCGTCTCAGATTTTGTTCTGAATTTACTAACTTCTGGAAAACATTTTTCAGATTTTTGTATTTTCAGCCTCGATAAAAGACCTCATCTGGGCCATTTTAAATGTCCAACACCTGCAGGAATATAACTCCCTCGGCTGTGAAATTTGGTGAGGACACAGACAAAACTGTTTCCAGCAGATCCAGATAATCAAATGGCTCCAGGAGGGAAAGTATTTTAAATTATGGTCGTTTGAAAATGGAATAAAGTGCAAATGAGGGTGGAATTACAGGCCTAGAAAGTTCCTGTAAATGTATATGCATGGATGTGTTCATATTTCCTACTAAAAACACAGCGTTTGGTTAAAATTTCACCAACTTTTGAGGCGTCTAACATCAGCAGAAAATGACGTGTGTCAAGTACGGCATGAGAAGGTTTGAGTTTTTGCTGTTATTTGCCAAAATGTTGAGTCATTCACAGAACCAAAACTGGCCACAAATGTCCTGAATTCTGGGTGAACCGACACAGACAGACGCTTTCTCATAAGACGAATGTAGAACAAAAGCAGCTTCGTCCTTTAAACGAGGCGTCGAGACTCTACGAAGCCCTGAAAGACACGAGACGAGACGTATAACTAAATGTCAGCGTTTATCCTCAAACGGCCTCGCAGGACGACGCAACCGGGAGAGCAAATGAAACTCCAGCAGCGATCAGGGCGAACCGGAGAGGAGAGCAGCCACAGGAGAGAGTTAACCACGGCAGCGGCACTGATGGGGATTTTGCATGACGAAGGCGGTGATCAATGATGTGCGGCCTCCTACTCATTAGAGCTCCAACACATTATAGGCATTAAAAATAGAACATCAGATGTGACAGCCGCTGCTGAGAAGACACCTACAAATGTTCCTCCCTGCGCTACAAAGCCAGAGCAGATTGGGGAGAAAGAGGCTGTTTTCCTGTGATGTTAGGATCAGATAATTGTGTGATATGAAGGTTAAAACCTAAACAGGCAGCAGCAGCTACGCTAACGAGAGGTGAGGGTGAGTTATGGTGATGAGGTGTTAGCAGCAGGATGAAGGCTGACGGGTTCCTCCTGGAAACACGAGTGGACGAAGCTTTAAGTCGATGGTTTCTTCTCTAATTATAAAACATCGTTTAAACTCAAACTGCTGCTTATTTTCTCTGTGACTGAAACCAACTACAGTGTGACTCAAATCAACCAATCAGGCGGGACTTTGGTCAAAATAAAACCTATTTACACTAAAAGCACAAACTCTGAGGTTAACTGCAGTTTGCATTTATACGTTTGTGAAATAAGTCGTATTTAACACATGAATTGCTTTATAAAGGAGACACAAGCCAATGACAGAAGTAAAGGCAAAAAATAAAAAGCTAAATAAAAAAAACAAACTCTCGTAAAAATACAGTAATTTTCCAAAATGAGAAGATATTTTCTAGCCTTAATTCTACATGAGAAAGTGTGTTTGGCTTTGTAATGTTTAAAAAAAGGTGTGTATAAGCAATTAAAACTGATAATATATAATAAGAATATACATGGATATACAGAATAAAGTTTTACAGATTACCAGTGCATAAAGAAAATTCTTCCATTTGTCATTTTGTTGTAAAAATTTCCATAAATATAGAAAATATCTCTCGTTTGACAAACAATTTACAATCACCAATTAACCTCAACATGTTTTTGGACTGTGGGAGGAAGCTGGAGAACCCGGAGAGAACCCACACTGCACGGGGAGAACATGGAGACTCCACGCAGGAAGATCCCGGGTGTCCTCACCAGGACGTGAACCGGCGACCTTCTAGCTGCGAGGCAACGATGCTAACCACTGATCCACCTGCAGCCCGGTCCTGATTCACTGCAGCCTTTATCCAGACAATGGTTGAAAACTAAAGAGCGTGTTCACAACTGGCATCACACGTTGTTCTTATTTAGTGCTG